TTGGCCTTTAGGAGTGTTTTCCAGTCCAGTCTGTTGGGGCACCATGCCCTGGCCCCAAAGTCTGCCTTCAGCATTCCCTGGGGACCTTGCTGCTCCATTCCCTTGCTGTTCCGCTGCACTCCCCCAGTGCTTTGCCTAGGTGTGGTGGGATCGGATCAGGTGCAATTCCCACACTGTGTCTCTGGTGCTGTTCCCCGCAGGGCCAGGCAACATGCCGGCGTGGAGCAAAGCTTTTATGGTATGCATTTTTCCTCACTAGATAAGCAGAGCACCGAGCTCTGAGTTAGTGAGCACAGTGGTGTCGCCTGGGAAGGTTCTCTCTGGTCACAGTAAATTTTTTTGTGAAAGCAGTTTCCCTTAAACCTCATTTTTCGTGATGGCCGATTTAAGAGAATAGTGTGTGACTGCAGTTTTGTTTCCTGCTTGGGGAAAATGCCAAAGAAACTATTCTGATGTTGAACACAGCTTACAAGGATAACTCTATGGGAAAAACTCAAGTGTACAAGTGGTTTTCTCAATTAAAAAGAGGTAAAATGTCAATTGATGACAAACCTTTTTCTGGGCGTCTGTCAACTTCCCAAATGGATGAAAATGTCAACTTAGTGCATTTAGAGTTCTTTGCACCAGGTCAGACTGTTACTGAAGCTTTCTGTTTAGAGGTTCTGAAAATATAGCATAACACTGTGCGACCAAAAAGGCCTGATTTGTAGCAGACAGAGGACTGATTTGGCCACCATAACAATGCACCAGCTCATTGCAGCCACCTCAGTGCACCAGTTTTTGGCAAAAAAACAAAAAACAAAACCTAAGCTTACACCTTACTCACCTGACCTTGCTCTGTGTAACTTCTTTTTTGTTTCCTTGAATGAAGAGGGACATGAAAGGACAGCTATTTGACTAGTAGAAGAGGTGAAGAAAAAAAACGAGGGAAGTCTTGTCAGCTATCCAAACAAATGAGTTTGAAAAATCTTTCCAAGAATGGAATTGCATATTTGACAAATGTATCAAGTTTAATGGGGATTACTTTGAAGATGATAAGGTTATTTTGTAAGAAAAATTAAATACATGGGGGGATACCCCCTCGTATAAGGAAGTCAAATGTAGAGATTGATTGTTATCTTTTCATTTCTGTGTTCAAGGGCTAGGATATTTATTCTAAAGCTAGTCATATATTCTAACACACAATTGACTCTTGTTCTTTGTGATTTAGATGTACACATATAAGAGGTATGTTAGATTATCAGTTGACCAGTGCTTACAATGACAGAATATAATTAGTGTGTTTTATAGAGCCAAAGAATAAGGCAAATGGAATCATAAACCTTCATGAACTGAAAAAGTGCCCGTGCTCCTTTACTACAGAACATACCACGAAGAAGACTCAAGGGTACTGAGGAGTGCTGTAGTGCTATAGGATGATGCTGCCTCCCAGCCTGTTTTCTTTAAAGACCTGTGACAAACATATTTCGTTGTTTCTAAGCTGAGAAAACATTTTGTACTGATAGGTTATCACTAAGGTCCTTTTTTATTTCTTATTACAAAAAATTATATGTGAAATAAAGAGGAACAAAATTTCATGTGGTATAAACTTGTAAGACACAGAGACATGCCTTAATCTCCAGTAAGATGTCAGAGAAAATAATCTTTGATTGTCTCTTTCCCCCATCCCACTCTCATTTCCATGTTTGTTTTGTTTATCCAGAAAGACACATTGATGGCCTTATGTTGATTTTCTACTTACTCACTAAATAAGGAATAACACTGTTGTGTTTTGTATTTGAAATTGTAAGGTACATTTATTTTTTCTTTCATTTTTAATTTAACTCTTTGTTTTACAGATGAGGGCAGAAGTGCAGTTGACCAAGCAGGTGGTGCACAGATTGTAATTGATCATTTAAGGTCACTGTGCAGTGTAACAGATCCCGCCAATGCGAAGCTCTTGACTGTCTTTTGTGGCATGCTGATGAACTATAGCAATGAGAATGGTAAACAAAACTGAAAACTTGCTTTTATCTTTAAAAAACATCTTTATTATAGTGCAAAACAACATATTTAGAAGACTGATGAACAAAAATTCATAAATGGCATATAAAATTGATAATTATCCAACATTAAATTGCTATGTCTAAAAAATATATTATGGTCTAATTTACTAGATGGGATTAGTTTCAAAAGTACCTGCCCACCCCCTCTTTAAAAAAAAAGACCTACTGTAATATGATTTAAGCTTAGCTATCAATATTTTTTAATAAATAGTATTAAAATAGCTTTGTGTTGATTGCTTTATATTCCAGGAGTATCTTTAAAAGCATACATACAGTCTACCTAACTAAAATTATTTTGTCTGGACATAAGATTTACTTCTTAAGGAGAAAATCATTTACCTTAAAAACTATCCATCGTAAAATCAAATTCATAATTAGATGGACAATAAATTTTATGACCATTACCATACATTTTAGAAGGATAATGCATCATTCATTCATTACATGAATTACTACCTGGATCAAAAACTCAAATTTATGTTGGTGCCAGGTTAGCAAAAGTAATGTCTTTCTGTTTGTTTTATATCATTTTAAGTTGTAGGCTTTTTGATGAGGCACATTTTACTTCCCTAATAAACATGTAATATTAGATTTTATTCCCAC